CGCTTTTATCCAAAGCGACTTACAATAAGTGCATTCGACCAGGAAGATACAACCTTGAAGAAAACAGAATCATATAAGTACATCAGGTTTCATAGAGCCAAACATTTCAAGTGCTACTCAACTGGCTTTAGATAAGCCAGCCCTTTATTAGTATATAAGTGCTTTGTTAGTAATTCAATCGCTCGAAGTGGAGTCTAAAGAGATGAGTTTTCAGTCTGCGCCGGAAGATGTGCAAGCTATCTGCTGTCCTGATTTCAATGGTGAGCTCATTCCACCATTTTGGAGCCAGGTAAGCAAACCCACGTGTTTTTGCTGATGGGAACTTGGGTCCCCCTCGCAGCGAGGGTGCAGCGAGCTGTTTGGCTGATGCAGAGCGGAGTGCACGTGCTGAGGTGTACGGTTTAACCATGTCCTGGATGTAGGAAGGGCCAGATCCATTCGCAGCATGGTACGCAAGTACCAGTGTCTTGAAGTGGATTCTAGCAGTTACTGGAAGCCAGTGAAGGGAGCGGAGGAGCGTAATAATGTAATGTAACTTATTACTTTAAAAAAGACAGATATAAGTAATATTACTGTATTACACTTTGGGAGTAACCTGCCTAAAACTGTTGACAGAAGATGACAAATATCTTATTGATATATATATATATAAATAAAAGGAATGCATTTCTGATGTTCAATGGTTTTACTTGAAAGGATGTAATGTCTCACACTTTTAGCAAAAAAGTGAACTTCATCTGCATCCAGATAGACAGGAGAAGGAGCATTATATTATCATATATTGCAGCCAAACTGCTCTTTAAATAGGAATTTTAATGACCTTCACGGTCTGTGATAATCAGTTCAAATTCTACATTTCTCTGGTGGGGGAGTGTTACAAACTCAGACACTTAGGAGGTAGGACCCAATTGCACGACCCGGGAGACAGAGGAAAAGTATTTGTAAGATACTTTATTTTTCCATGAACAGCAAAAAATGGTCTCTACAAAACTGGAGAACAAAAATGAAAACACGTAGTGAGGATCAAACTTATCAAGACCTCAAAATAGCATAGATCTGACTGTNTCAGCCTGGCTACCAAGTGCTGAAGAAATCTTCGCTTATTCTTATTCTCATCTATTAATGAAGAGGTAGGGTAGGGCTGCTCTCGCTTATACGCAGTCTTTCTTAATATTCATTGAGAGTACTAATGCACTTAAACGAGATTCTTCAAGTTTAGTGGAACGCCATATCCTTTCAAGTTGCTCGACTTATTTGCTTTATTTTGCGGGTTTCGGCATTATGCCATGGAGCTAATCTATGTTGTTTTATTTTCTTCTTTTCAAAGGAGGCAACAGAGTCTAATTTTATTCGCAGCGCTTGTAGCACTATCCCAACATTGATCAATTTGGGGTGGTGTACATTTTGTTTAAGTTTCCTCCCCTACATGCAGACATGCTATCGAGTTAAGTATTGGTGGAATCTCTTCCTTAAATTTTGGCTTATAGCACTAACAGATAGGTTTCTGCTGCGGGCTTTTGGCTAATGGGCTTTGTAGTTTCTTAGTAACAGTACTTTCAAAAGTTACTAAGAAATGGTCGGATAAAGGCATGATTATGCGGTTCGACTAATAGTTGCTCAATTTCAATACCATAAGGGTCAGAACAGGTCAAGAGTGTGATTATAGCGTGGGTGTTTATTTCACTCTGACAGAAACCAACAGAATCTAAATATAGAGTTAAATGCAACAGTAAAGGCTATTTTTATCCATCGTCAACATGAATATTAAAGTCACCTACGATAATTACTTTATCTGTTTTTAAGTACCAAAATTGATAGAAACTCAGAAATTCTGGAAAGATTCTGAATAAGGGACCTGGGTGGCCGGTAACACTGTACAATAGAATTTGGCTGCAAAGTTTTCCAGGTCGGATGCGTAAGGACTGAAAAGAGACCTATTCAAGGAGGTATAAATTTAATTTTTTGTTAGTATTGATAAGTAACTTGAGTCAAAGTTGCTGCAACTCACCTCCTCGCGCCCGTTGCCTCGGGCAATATGGAAGTATTGTATGGCTGGGTGGAGTGGCCTCATTTATGCTGACATATTCTTCATGTCTCACCAAGTTCCAGTGAGACAGGGCATATATCAATATTATATCTGATTTAAATCTTTACCCCAGTTATTGCTTTAGATGGCTATAGTCTTTATGTTTAAGAGACCACATTTAATCTTCCTGTTTGTTGCACTGCTAGTAGTATTACATTTACTTATTATTTAGGTTATTATGTTATGACACCTCTCTATAGGTTTAACCTTATTTGGTCTTGGGCAGGACACCACACCGATTAACTCTTGGGTTATTTTATTAGGCTGTACTATTTATATATAGTCCTAGCCTTACACTATGACCTTCAGCTAGAAAACTCCTTAAGAACAATTTGATTACTAACCACAAACGCTTGGGGTTAACCGGCAATTAAAAACCAAAGAAGAAGGAGGAAAATACATAAACCGGAAATGTCTGAGCTGCGCAGCAGGCACCGTTTAGTTGCGTGTCGTGCTTCAGGCGGCTTTCAGAGGAGCACTGCACTGATTTAAGTTTGTCGAACATACTACATGCCAACCTTTCCAAATCCAAAGAGGTAGGTTTGCGCGCGGCAAATGTGCTCGCCCGAATTAGGTAATCAGAAGAAAAGGAACCCCAGTAATTACATGTATAAACCATGTATTTAACATTATATTGCATCATTTTGTGCATTTTTCAGAAAAAGTGGTAGTTTGGTAAACAGTGACAACGACGACATGTCTGGTCTGTAAAATGCCCGAAAAGTAAAAGAATGGGAGATAAATATCCCAAAGTTTCCACATTTTATTATATTTTTAATGTGTTTCTGGTCCTCTTTCAGTTGAGACAGTGTAGAATAGATGAAGGATGTGTCCAGGATGTGGAACTCTTGTGTGTACATTGGATAAAGCCAGGTTCATATTCTTGTTTCATGTTGATGACATATTAGAGTCAAAGGTTTTCACAGAGCGAAATATCTTTGTGTTGCGCGATATATCAGAAAATACTGCATTAAAAAAGTCATTTCCTGCATTTTTCTACTGATAAAGTGTGATATAAATAATGGACAGGCTTTCAGATTGCTGTAGTTCACTAAACAGAGACATTAACGACATGTTTGGTGTTGAAAATGTCAGAAAAAGTGAAAGAACGGGAGATAAATATCTCAAAATTGTATTATATTTTGTGTGTGTTTGTGGTCCTCTTTCAGTTGAGACACTGTATGATGCTTCGCCAACATGTGTTTTCGAGACACTGATATTGACGGGGAAATCCTGCAGGACTCAAATGCCTCGTCGGGGCTAACGCTGCCTTTCCCGCAGCGTTACCCCCGGTCTGCACGTTGTTTCCCTTTCAGAAACACAGAGGACTGTTTGTATGATGCGATCACGCTGCAAACGGTGTCCACCAAAAGTCGAGTCCAGTGTCTATGGAGTGTCATTTTTATCTGTTATAGTTTGGGAAGATTGAAAATCGGTAGGGAAAGCCAGCTAAGTCGGTAGGCGGTAGAAACATGTCAAAAGCGGTTGACTCCCGCCCAAATCGGTAGGGTTGGCAGGTACATCTCTTGCACATTTGGAAGTTCTTATTATACATCCATGAGGCGCTCAGGTGAATTGCTGCTGAATTGCAAGTTTTAATTTTCACCATTTTGTGATATCTTTATAAAATAATGATAAGGTATTTGGTAGGTTTCTGACAGCTGGCTCGCTTAGCTCGTGCTACAGTAGCTAACGTTAGCTAAATATTAGCTAGCTAAGGTGAATGAAAGCATCGTTCGTGTGTTTACATTTAGTCTCTGCTTCTTCTTTGTATGTGAAACAGGTTGTCTCTTTCCGAAACATCGGCCCCTTGGATTAAATTAACTGGTGAAAGTGTGCATATATATATGCAGTGGTGTAAGGTAACATTGCTCAAGTAGCCTACTGTACTTAATAATAATAATAATAAATGGGATTTATATAGCGCTTTTCTAGACCCAAAGACGCTTTACATTATGAGTAAGGTCGACAAACAAAACAAGAACAAAAACACAAACAAAAACAAAACAAAAACAGAAAAGCAGTCAGGAGGATCTTGGTTCAGAGGGGGGAGGGACGGGTTTAAGGATAAGCAGAGTTGAAGAGGTGGGTTTTGAGACGGGACTTTACATTTTTCAATGTTGAAGTACTTGTACTTTTCTCTTGTATTTTAATTTTTTGCTACTTTGTACTTCTACTCCACTACAATTCAGAGGTAAATGATGTACTTTTACTCCACAACATTTATTTAGTTTCCTTTAGTTTCTTTGCAGATTTTGATTAAAAAAACGTGAAATATAATCAACTCTTAAAAAATACTTTAGTTACACCTGGACTCCTGGAGTAACATTCACAAGCTACCCTGCAGTATACAAAGTCATTCAAACTAGCTGCACCTTTACCAGCTTTGATAACACTTTAATGCATCAATAATTATAAAACATATCATATATATTATTCTGAAATGGACCAATCTGCACAATGAGTACTTTTACTTTTGGTACTTTAAATATATGTTGATGCTGAATCTGATACTTTTGTACTTTTACTAGAGTAACATTTTGATTGCAGGACTTTTACTGTAACAGAGCATTTCTACACTCTGATACAGTACAAGATCTGAGTCCTTTTTCCACCTCTGTTTATATAATGTATGTATATTCCGCTCTGTATCCTGCGAGAATGTGCTGATTTCATTTCTCTCTTGAGCTATTATGTGCTGTAAATTTTCCGCTTCAATTATTGGATAATGGAATAACTATAAAATAATGACAGCGTCAGTGCTTAGACTGGTTCACTTCTGAGGAAAACAACAAGCGATCTGTTTTCTTTGCAACAGTGGCACCAACAGGACACGTTAGATGAAAGAAAGGTAATCTGTTTTTACTTTTACATAAAGCTTGTGTCTGTTTTTTATTCTGTATTATGTCTGTAGATTATACTCGGTCTAGTCCAGTTTGGTTTCGTTGTGACCTACCTGTCTGAACCGCTGGTCCGAGGTTACACCACAGGAGCTGCCATCCACGTCATCGTGTCCCAGCTCAAATACACCTTTGGCATCAGCCCGAGGAGATTTAATGGACCCTTCTCGTTGATATATGTAAGAAAGATGACATGCTGATCACCTGCTTGCTTCTACATGGTTTTTATTTCTAGAAATTTGTAAATTAATTGATATTTCCAAAGCAATTTAGTTTTTTAGTCAATGTCAACTGTAAATCCTAGAATTTCATCAAGCATCATGTGCAGGGAAATATAATATCTATAATAATAAAAATATTTATCTGCAAGCTTTTATCTCAACAACATGAAAGCTATCATGTACATTTGATTCTGCATTGTGATGACCGTCAGCACTACTGGCTATATCCTGTATACTGTATACTGTATACTGTATACTGTGTAATATAGCCAGTAGTGCTGACGGTCCTCTCCATAATGGACCAGAATTCAAAATGCACACTGTATTTTCATCTTTAAATCTTCATTTATGTGTACAACTAATTTCCCTTATACTTTCTTATATAAGCATTTCATAAACCATCATGTTATTATTTCTTTCTTTCCAGACTGTGTTGGAGATATGCTCTATAATTACAGAGACAAACATTGGTACTCTTGTGGTCAGTATCGTCGCTATAATTGGCCTCATACTCGCTAAAGAGCTCAATGCTTACTTGAGTAAAAAACTACCTGTTCCTATACCCGTAGAGCTGATTGGTGTAAGTATACAAAGACTTATAATATAATGTATTGACATTTAGTTCCTTGCAAGTATGCACATGCTTACATACACTTACATCCAATAACACATCTGTGACTCTGTTTCTACAGATCGTTGTTGCTACAGTGATCTCCTGGCAGGTTGACTTGCGGGCTAAATATGGAGTGGAGGTGGTGGGACTGATTCCCTCGGGGTGAGACGCACACACACAACAAACATAAAGGACTGTGATTACACGTGAGAAGGGAGTGTGACATATTAGATATATCTTGAGTCTTCTTTTTAGTGTTTTCAAAAATTACTTGCGTTAATGATAATACAAATCTGTAAGTAACCATGATTAATCACAAGTTTGACTAGTTTTTACTTGTATTATGGGGTGAGATAAATACATGGTTGGTCCAGTTCCTCCGCTTTATTTGCCTTTTCACTGACATGCAATTCATAGTAAAAAATCTGCGGTACATTTACGGTGGGAAGTTGGGGTTGAACTTGGCTATGTGATGAATTTGTGTATATTTATTTTAAGGTTTCCAGAATTATCGCGAGGGTTCACACATTAACGTTGAAAACCCCAATAATTTTCTATCCATTTCCACCAGCCTCCAGCCGCCGGTTCTCCCGACCGCCTCCCTGTTCAGTCAGGTGATCGGGGATGCCTTCGCTCTGGCTGTGGTTGGCTACGGCATCGCCATCTCACTGGGAAGGATCTTCGCCCTGAAATATGGATACAAGGTGGACAGCAACCAGGTAGGGAGAGGGTGGATGGAGTCAGAGTAAACTGCTCTTTGAAGGCGTATCTCTTGTATATAAACAGGGTGTTTTCTTTGGTTTAGGAGCTCATTGCCCTGGGTCTAAGTAACTCCATTGGGGGGATTTTCCAGTGTTTCGCCATCAGCTGCTCCATGTCCCGCACCATGGTTCAGGAGAGCACAGGAGGAAAGACTCAGGTTTGTATAAGTGGACATAATGCTGCCGAAGTGCCCATGAGAAAAACATTGTGAGAGTGCTCTCTGTATAATTTCTGATATTGGTGAGCAAAGTGGGTCTTACAGTATATGAGACAATTACTTTCTTTTTTAAATACTAGCATATTTTACTTTTAAAGTGTCCAATATCACACAAATTATTTTCTCACCTACCCCTGGAAGTATCCATGCAGATAACAAAAAAACAAACAATTTGCTTGGTTATACCATTGCAGGTGTATAGAGTTTTTTTTTAATAAACATAACTTTTAATGACACTTACGGCCCGTCCACACAGCTGCGTGCGTTGAAAGCTTCACCATTCACTTTGAATGGGGTGACGTCACTTTTCGCCAAACTGCATTGTGGGAAGCGACACGTAGCGTTGCTGGCTTGGCTCGCTGCAAAAGTTGAGCAATGTTCAACTCTTGACGCCTCGGCAGAAGCGTCAGCCAATCGAATCATATGCCAGTACAAGTTCTAGCCAATCAAACCCGCTGCTTGTGTTTCAGGGGCGGGAGATTCATGTGATTGGTTGTTGGTCGAGTTTCAGACACGCCCGCCGGCATGCGACAACGCACGCCGCTGTGTGGACGGGCCGTCAATGTATTTTGTAGGGGGGAGAAACTTGTTTATATTACATAAATAACCATATTTTACTTCACACTCTTTTTAAAATGTCCACTGTATACATTTTATGCTGATTTTGTATCGTATGTAGTACTTAAACGGTCTGGGAGTACATTCCCTTAAAAATCATCATCATCAGACACCTGGTTAAAACCCAAATCATCACATCAGTAATGCTGCTTTTATTTTATTTTATTATTTAGAATGCATTTAATTTAACCTTCTATTTGGCCATTACCTGTACTCGCTAACGATGCATCTTAATACAGTTAAAAAGGCAGGGATATCTTATTTCCCAATTCAATTTAATGATATCTGATTCTTCTCTTAAATGTAGTCCACAGAGCTGAACACATTTCAACAACACTTAGAGACATGCTGATTGGTTTGCATGCCTCGGATTCTTAATAACTTGACAAGGATTTTTCACAAGATACTTTTTCTTGTCAGTGTTTTCCTCCCATCACTTTACTCTGCCCATAGCTCCAGAACTGGGCTATCTTAAAGGTTAAACGAAATGTAAAAAAAACCCTGTAACGTTGCTCTGATAAGTGGCATCATTAAATATCACTTAGGGAATTGATTTTCGCTCACATCGTTGAAATCCACCTACACAAACAGTTTAGCTGAGAGGCTAAATGATTTAGTCAGACAACACCATTAATCAGCCGAGGAGTGGAGAGGCTCTAACTGATGATGCCTCGACTCCTCCTCTCATAATCACGTACCTATTCACTATATTAACCATTACATCATTCATCTTTCCTTCTTCTTATCTATCTCTCCTTCCTTGATCTCTCTCCTGATTTCCATTCATCATGCCTCTATCTCCTCTTTCTTCGCTGCAGGTTGCTGGAGCTCTTTCAGCCATAATTATCCTTTTCATCACGCTCTGGATTGGAAGACTCTTTGAAGATTTACCAAAGGTACTGTGTGCATGTGGATGTTCACATATGTGCTGAAGCATGTGGGTCCAAGAGAATGTTTTTGTCAGATGATCAAAATATGGGCAACAGCTGATGTTGGGTTGCTTTAAGACGGATAACTCTTCAGCTTCAGACTAAAGCAACTGGCTACTTTTGAAAACAAATGATTATAAAATCAGGGTTCAATTAATTTATCACACTTGTATTTGTTAAGTTATTCATCCGGAACAATACCTTTTAATTTCTGTAAAGCACTGTTACAATTTAAATATCATAAACACTGCCATTTAGGGGTTTGACTCTTAGCCATTTGTTTGCAGTTTATTTAACAAGAACACATACAACTTTAAAAATCCACGAGAGGTTTATCTCAAACTAGCTCACCTTCATGTTTTAGGCCTCAAAAGTGATCCATATAAACTCTTATATTTGACTCACTGTGCAGGCAGTGCTGGCCGCCATCATCTTTGTTAACCTCCATGGCATGATGAAGCAGTTCCTGGACATCCCTGCGCTGTGGAGGAGCAACAAAGTAGACATGGTGAGTATGCTAAGGAAAATAAAAGAGTTTTAGGAACATACATTCCTTCATATTTTGGTAACAAGATGTACTGCACCAATGTGCATATCTTCCCTGAGCTTCACTAGTCATTTGTGAAAGTTGTTCAGACAAACAGTTTCTTTAATGAAAACTTTTCAGAACAGGATATCTTTTACACAAAATGATATTGCCTATTCTTCAAAGATACTGTGGTATTCGGACTTGCTAATATAAGAATGATGTTAGAAAAGAGTCTTAACATGCTAAGCAGTTAACAAGCTAAACTTTGAATACTTAACATTAGCAGTAATGACATTTTATCACAGCTTAAGGAGCTATTTGCTTGTTTTGTGACAAATTGTGAGAAATATGCTACAAATGAAATAGCAAATGTAGGCTATGTTTTCTCATTCCACACATGACACAGTGTACAGTATATGCAACAAAAGCCCATGTAGTAAATGAAATACACCTGAGACAAATTAGCTTAAACTGATTTGGCTACATTCAGGATTTAGGTAACAACGCTAGCAAAGTTTTCTTGTTTTATTACATGTGTTGCTTATCAATCTCCAGCTGGTCTGGGTGGTCACCTTCATCTTCACCATACTCTTCAACCCTGACCTGGGACTGGCCGCTTCCATCGGCTTCTCCATGCTCACCGTCATCTTCAGGACTCAGCTGTAGGAGCACATTTTTACACACTCACAATAAACACACATAACGTTTGTTTGGTAGGAAATTGTTTAAAGTTAAATATTAACCCTCTTTATTGTTGTGTGTACTCCAGACCAACATACTCCATTTTAGGGCAGGTCCCAGACACTGACATCTACAGGCCGCTGGAGGGCTACAACCAGGTATGGCACAATATATTTAAATAACCTCTAATTGGTGACTAATGGCGCATTTCCACTACAGCGCGGAGCTCGCTTTAAGCTTGCCGTGCATGGCCCGTTTTTGGTTGCGTTTCCACTTGGCCTAGTTCCGACTAGCGGGTACTATTTCATAGTTTTTCTGGCCCCATAATGGCGCATTTCCACTACAGGATACTCAGCCCGACTCAGCCTGGTTGTTGGCCCCGAAAGAACCACGATTTTATGGGGCCAGAAAAACTGTGAAATAGTACCCACTAGCCGGAACTACGCCTGGTGGAAACGCAACGAAAAACGGCACGCTTAAAGCGAGCTCCGCGCTGTAGTGGAAATGCTCCATTAAATCGAGGTTCTTTCCGGGCCAACAACCAGGCTGAGTCGTGCTGAATATGCTAAACTAGAGAGACAATCGCTGACAAGGGAGCTACAACTACAACAAAATGAACATCTTTGACCGTGATTTAATTTTAATACACGTTTCAAAATAATTCCGAAGTAACAACATACTGATACCGGTTAGTAAAAAACATGAATTAATGCTTTGACAAGTCTGCAGACAGACGGCAGGCGAAAAACCTTTTAAAATGCGTGTTGTCTAAATGGAGATCGGCTAAGCTAACGCTGTATATGCTCCGACCATCCACACTCACAACAACGGCCTACAGACATAAATAAACCAGCGACTGTATTCACCATGACACAGACAGTCTGTGGTTTGTACTTGTTTAACTTCTGTCTAGTTTCTGAACAGATATGAGGAGCTGTGAGCTTGAGCGCTAACAGCTAACGGCTAATGTTGTTTTTCTGTGGTTCGCATTGAAGATACACTGCGTTACTATAGTTACTGCCCCAGCTACTAAACTGTAATGGAAACGCAGCATAAAGTGAGCCAGTCCTAACAAGGCCTAACGAGTCCTAGCCATACCGAGCGAGGCCCTGTAGTGAAAATGCGCCATTAAGTGACTAATGTCAGTAGGCTAAAGGTTTTAAACACACACTTAGGAGTATATAAAGCCTACTGACCTTGTGTTTCTTTTGTCCCCGACATTATAACCAAGAGTCAAATATAGAGGTGTTAATGGGAGTTATGTTCCTCTCTGTGACTCAGCAGAACACACTGCGCTGTTGAAAAACAATGCTGCATTCCAAATACAAACCATTTTATAAAGTATTATTTACTAACTTCTTTTATTTTTATGTTTTTATTTCTAACTGAACTACTTCCACTGTTGGGATATCTTTATTTTTGAAGGTAGAAATCTGTACCTTTCTGTATGTGAGACAATAATATGAAATATCGGTGAAAATGAAATAATACAAGATATCAGAGATACTCCATTTCTCACTGTTCTTTAATTGATAAGATAATATAAAAGGCACCGTTGTGTTTTTTTTTGGGTTGGGGGGGGGATTTTCAGGACTTATTCAAATCACATTGATAAGATATTGTTTAAATAAAAGAGCAAAGAAACAATTTAGACCAGACAACAAGTACGTTTCTAAATGTGTTGAAGGTACATCTAGATTTAAAACCACCTGAAGATTTATTTTTGTAAGCTTTTTGGCTATTTGTAATATCTTACCATCAGTAAGTTTCGTTCCTCATGACATTCCTACTCGTGTTTTAAGCCTCAAGCGTCTTGTCTCTATTGTTGGTATTTATGGCTTGTCGAAACGTTGACAACCATTGTTTGAAATTGCCCTGAAAGTTGGTGCCCTGAGAATGCTTTCTTTTTTGACCCCCCTCTAGGCCACAGACAGCTGTGGTAACTAGTTAATGGATCACTTGTCTTGGTGAAATGTGGTCCCCTGAGGATGAATTCTGCTTGATTCTGTGTTCGGCTGTTGTTCCCTCTACCGCCACCATAAGGGTTTATGTGAGATGTCTCAATCACAGTTGGATGGATTGCTTTAAATTGTTGCACACACATCCATATCCCTCTCATTGTGGATTGTAATAACTCTGGGTTTAGTGATAATAAGCTTTTTTTTTTAGCATGCTTACACACAACACTAAGGTGGTAAACATGTTAAACAGCAGAATTGCTTAACATTAGCTTGTTAGCTGTAGAATTGACCCCATAGCATGTTTAATGAAATAACTCACTAAGTGACCTGTTGGTTTCAGGTGAAACGGGTGCCAGGGATTCTGATCTTCCGTTCCTCTGCCACTCTCTACTTCGCCAATGCTGAGATGTACCAGGAAGCCCTTGGAGAGAAAGTGAGGCCACACACACACTCACACGCTGTGGTGGGAATGTATTTATCAAATGTGGATAGAGAATCAAACCATTCAGCTGTCTTTGTCGTATTTTATTTCTTGCAAGAAAGTTCAGTCAGTCATACAGAGAGCATACAGTCTGCAGAGTGGAAGATGAAGAATAGAGTTTGGGTTGCATATTCAAACACAGAGAGAGTAGAAAGGGAGGGGTTGAGCTTGGTGATAATGAAAGGAGCATTCTGGAAGTTAGGGAGTTAGGGAGGCCATATCAGGATGTTCTCAGTTCACCTGAGTTGAAGGTCATACTGTTGGTGCACATAGACTGTAACTAACAACACTGCAACAAAATCTTCTTAAAAAGGAATCTTCCCAAGCTTAGCTAAGAAGTAGTAAATATAGATAAACATTAGCAAATAAGAATCACTCAATGATATAATTAAAGTAAGTAAGTATAATATTTGTCTATTACACACACACACACACACACACACACACACACACACACACACACACACACACACACACACACACAAACCTAAAACTGTGTCTGAATCCTCAAACAGAAGTGAGAACTGGCAAAATGTCATCACAAAGACACACTGGGTTAAAACTGCATAATGTATACGTGTGGACCCCCCCTGTATCATACATACAAACTTGATGGACACACAAGCAGAAATGTATACGGACATGTGAACACACCACAGCAACACACACACACATATAAATAAATGTATAACTCCAATAATCTCCTTTGTCCCATTTTCAGTGCAATTATCTCCTCTCTTACAAACATTATTTCTGACACACTAATAACGGACCTGACATTTCATCATTTCACATATCATGTCCGTGACAGGCATTGTTCAAAATGTCACCCCACCTTTATTCCCCTCTCCCTTCTTTCGCTAAACTTTTGTTTAAACACTCCCCTGATTCTCTTTCCTCCCCCCTCGTCTTCCTCCTCGTCTTCTATCACAGCTCTTTGGGGGGAAATGGGAAGACAAATTGTGGGAAGGTAAAAACACAATGACAAAAGATGGAGGTGGGGTGAGAAGCCGAGATTGAATACGAGTGGGAGATAATGGAACGTCTCATTCATTAAAATGTCAGCATGTCAAAGCCGCTGGGTCGCTCGTTTCTTTCTAATCTTTGACTCTTAAACAAGCCTCAATAGAGCCGTTGTTGACTGGCAGAAGCTGCATGTCTGGTCACAAGATGAGGAATGCCCACCAGATGAATTCCGGTCATTTTTGGGGTTTAGATTATGTCTTTCTTCTCCACCAGTCTTAGTGGTTTGAATTTTGGGATTATTTTATGAATAATAGTGCAAGGTGCTGGGAGAATGTGGGATCATTCACTGCTTGTTCTCACAGGCAAAGCTGAAAGGGGATATTTATGCTGACATTGCACACATTATTGATTTGTACTACTTTCCCATCATGCTATTAAATTGTCCCAATGATTGAATGTCCTATAAACTCCTTAGAAGCGTTTTAAAGATGTTAATTGCTCTCAATTTAATTTTGAAGAAGTAGGAAGGCTTAAATGGCTGTTATAATTGTGATCCGCTTTGCAATTGCCATACTGACATTTTATTCAGGGCATCAAAAATAAGCATTGAAGATCTGATTGGCTCTAGACGACTGATGACCATGACCATATTTCTGTCATTTCCATTTCCTGGTTGGCCATTAGTCCTTAGTTATGGACAATTGTGTCATGTACAGACTGTGTATAAAAAATATATAAATGTGGGGACTTGGTTATTTCCTTATGACAGCTCAACAGAAACAGATAAAAGACAGGTTCACAGTTGTCCTTGTCAGTCTTCAAACACTAGTCAGGTGCAGCTAAGATGATATGTCGAGCCGTGCTTGTGACTGAATGTTGTTGGCCTGTGTACAGAACAGTATTTGTAGTATAGTATTTTTATTAGCGCTATACGCAGTGTTGTCATTTCATTTTTGTGGATGGGAGTTCAGTTCAGTTTAAAACATTTTGGCATGAATGACAAATGAATGACATAGTGTTAGCAATACAGATAACATCATTAAAGTAAATAGTTTCTGATCTTTACTGTTGATTCAATAAGGTGAGTCATGACAACTCGGAATCTGAGAAAGTTCTCTTGTGTTCTTTAGGCGTGGGAAAACTCATTGCATTTCATGTTTTACTTACAAGACAGAAACCCTCCAGCAAATGCGCCAAACATCCTGAGCATGTGAGACATTTCTTTCAACGGCTGTCATGCAAAAGCCTGTGGACGATCAGGTTCTGCTCTGCTGGTTTATGGTTTATTTTTGGACTGAAGACTTTAGTTTCTTAGGACTGGCTGAACAAGCTAAACTGGCTGAGAAAGGTTTGTCTTCCTGTGACTACCTTTGAGCCTTACCACCCAAAATGACTAAAAGCATGGCAACATTTTACATGTCTTCCTCTTATTGAGTTGAAAGTCTCAGAATCATTTAATGCAAACTCATTTATCAAGACCCTTCCTTTTAATTGATTGGTCATTTTTGAAAAGGTTTAACTTTACATGAATGTGGAAGGAAATACAACAGACAGACCTCTCCTTGTCCACCTTATCCAGCTTAAACAATGTAGGAATCTTTATATCAACATACCCAAAAGTTTTTTTAAGTCTCTTGGGAAGATAAAGAAGACAACGAAGACAACGAAGACAACAAAGTGCAGTTAGCATCTAACCAGGAGTGAAAAATAAGCAGTAATTGCAGTGTATTGTATAGTATAATATGCGAACATATGACAGTGTGAAGCTGACAATTGAGCGGCCCGACCAAGCAAGGAGGCAGAGAGAGAGAGTTAAAATATAACCCGGTGTGGGCATTTATTCATCACTGTGGGACATGATACACAGCCTCAATATGACTGTCTCATGTGAAAACAGTCACCAGCAACAAGGAAACACACTAACAGGAAAACAGAACCTAAATACACCCAGGACTAATCAAACCAACAAGACACAGGTGAGGGGGGAGGAGACAACACAGGGCACCAGGTGAACACAATCACCAGCAACAGACAAGACGGGAGGGGGAACACTTTTCAAAATAAAACAGCAAACAGAGACAGATAAACTAAAACATAGACAGATCGCGACAAATAGATGCATAAATTACATGTATATTCACATTCTTCCTGTGCAATGTTTTGGTGTAGAACAGATCAACATACTTCGCCAAATATGAAGCTATATTATCCGTAACGGAGGCCGAGATCTATGGCCCCAGAGATCACCTCCGTTACAGACATATATAAAAAGACTTCAATCAGGTTATGAGTGGAGGGGCAACAAGCTCCTTCTAAATCTGCTGGTCCTGGTACTGAGGTACGGAATAAAGCTCACATTGGTTTAAAAGAGCTCTAATTTGGTTTGATAGAAATGATATATTCTATTATTCCATTTGAAGCACCTACCCACAGGCTCCGAAGAATTGGTCCAGCTAAAATAACTCAAGAGTTAGCATATCAGCATTGCTGAAGGAAATCTGTACGTAATTTACTCTTACCATGTCATTGTCTTTTGATGCTTCTTTTAGTCTGGTATCGACATTACCAAGTTCCTGTCAGCAAAGAAGAAACTAGAGGCCAAAAGGAAGAGACATGAGAAGAAAAATGCCAAAAAAGCTGCAAAGAATAACGCAGTGGACATGGTGAGGATGACCATAGACATATTAAATGTCAATACAAAAAAGAGATTTTTTGTCCCTCTATATTGGAAAACTTTGATTGATAAACAGAAATATAAGCTAACCCTAACCCTAACACTTTCAAACATGCCTGACACTAAACCTTGATGTTCTTTAGTTACCACTTTTGATTGCCAATCACCTTCTTAAGCTTCTCATTGAACTTGAACCTCTAACGAGTGTCTTTGCACTGTGCCATGACTCCCCCCGTACAGGAGGAGGTGCCAGAGAGGGAGGATCAGAAGGACATAGCCGTCATTGAGGTGGAGGATGAGCCCGACCCCTCTCTCCCCAGAGCCATCGTCCTCGACCTCAGCCCCGTCAACTTCCTGGACACTGTGGGGGTCAAGGCGCTGCGCAGTGTAAGACTATGTTTCAAATATGTATTCATCATTTTGAGAAAATGACATTTAACTGAATTGTTGTCGTCCAAACGGCTCCAAGAAACAGCCACTACTTTTGTAATAATTTTTTAACTGGCCCTGGAGGACAAGGCAAACACTCTCAAACTGTTATCTTTGCTTTATACATTTGACTTTGCGTTTCTCAACAACTAGAACTTTCTCTCCTCTCTTTATCTTTTAGCTTCTTGGGCATCCAATTACTGTAAATGAAATTGTCAGACTAATGAAATGATCCCCAGTCTGACCTTTACATTTGTGCTTCTGTGTCTATTCCAGATTCAGAAAGACTACGGGGAAATCGGTATAGAGGTTGTCCTCGCTTGCTGCCAAAGTAAGTTCCTCTGCAATAATAACATTTGAGTGGATTTCTCAAAACACAGAAATATCAGAGAGGTTATAAATATGTTAAACACCAACAACAGAGCAGCTATACCGTTTACATAACTTCATATAGATCTACTTTCTGTATCAATGTAAAAAAAAGAAAGAAATGATCCTATCTGTTTTGAATCTATTAAAACTGCATTTGCCTTTATAAAATGATTTAAATCCATTTGACTGAATCTTCCATTGTCATCGTTAGGGATCTCCTGACATTTTGATCATAAAATGAGATTTCTTCGTCCCAAATGCTGTAGAACTATCAAGCATCTATTTATCCATTGACATTCCAGACCCACTTAGCCACAACCCATTTGGATTCATTCAACAACACACAATATTATTTTAGCTGCTTGATATTATGGAAACATGTATGTGAAGGAAGTAGTTTCAGTAAACACTATTCCATGTTTTCCAAATCTGGAATGTAAGGCAATTTGGGGTCATGAAAAGATTAGTATGCGTCGTAAGGATAACTAAAAAAGGAAATACTGAAATCTGGCTGCCATGGTTGGGTTATTGTGTTGAATAAAGCATCAACCCTGTGACTTTTTACATTGTAGCCCACAAATGTGTTTTCTAGCTGGAGAAAATGTGGGTCTCTAGGGAAAAACTCTTTCAACCATAATGATCGAAGGCGTCCAGTTTATTATATTATTAGGATCAGCAGCTCTAAACATGCTGTTGAAAGAGCATATGTATTGTAAGTGTTAAGGCTCGCAAAGGGACGGTAAAAGATATTACGCAGCCATGACTTACAACGAGGATCAATACACAGGAGGACTATTCCTCTCTTTCTGACTCCTTTTTTCTTTAGGTTCTTGTTTTATTTATTCGACAACCTTTTTGTTTACTTTATCTTCTTTGATAACTCTCTATTTCTCCCCTTAATTTCATTCAAATTCTCGTCCTCTTATACTTGTGTTTTCCAGCTGTTGTGGTGGACAACATGCAGACTGGAGGTTTCTTTAATGACAAAGTGACAAAGGCCTGTCTCTTCTCCTCCGTCCATGATGCCGTTTTGCACTGTCAGTCTGCCAGGACGCACAGCCAAGATGAGGCCATGTGCTGTGTGAGTATGCATACATGCACTCAATCAGATCACAACAAAAAGTACTGAACTGTGCAAGTTCACTTTTTTTTATTTCTATAAAGTTACTCGACAGGGGATATACAAGACGGAATTGTTACAAATATTTACCTACTTTTTCTTTAAGCTTGGTATGCTCAAAAGAGAGTACTATCAATGGGCATCATCTACTGTTACTATAGAGAAAATCCTATCTAGAGGCATAACCATATTACACTTATTGTTGTCCTAACAAGGAACAAAACCTTGCAGCATTATTCAATTGGAAATGTGGTGGTGTGTATTAAATTAGTTTTATAAAGCCTTTCCAATAATGGCTACAGAACTGCTGTGCTCCTTGAAAGTCACAGATGACTTCTCTACTCAAAACAGCGCAACAAGATCAACACACTGACATACATCCTATAAAGGTAATATTGTAAATGTGTTAGTGAACATTTGCCACTTCACATTGAGTTGACATGGAGTAACATTATCATTAATTATCATCCGAGTTCATTCAGCAGTCAGTGGTGTGGGGATGATGTATTAAACTCTTAATATCCTAATGGACAATGATTAAAACGTTTCTGGTTTGGTTAATTGATCCTCAATCTGCAGCGTGGCCTGGACTGCTGATTGAAAAGGAAATGGGATTTACAGTGAAAAACTGTATTTTATATATATACATATATATTAAATGTATTTAGATGCAAATAGCTTTTTGTTTTTCATACACAAATACTTTATTGTAAGGATCACCATCATCAATCCGCTGTGACATATGATATTGTGTTTATGTTAATCTAATGTATACACCTGTGCTTGCAGGGACGACTGTATATCATTCAGTCTGTGCTTTTGTTTTAGTTTTACTGTTTAGTTTGATGCGTGAATTTGTTTCTGCTCCCATAAGAGAGATCTAACAGAGAACAAAGACGAGGCACTGATCCATGAAAAACAGTTTACAGGAGCAAAGGCTTTTCATTGGGGATAGGGAGCTCACACACACACGCACACACGCACACACACACACACACACACACACACACACACACACACACACACACACACACACACACACACACACACACACACACACACACACACACACATAGGAAAATAAAATACAAAGCCTGTAAGTGAGGGGGTGGTAAAAGAAGCCTGATGCTGGTCAAGGGAAATAACTAACACACACACACNCCTTTTGTCATGTTTACAATGCAGATTATTGACATTAGGTCTGGCAATACAGTCAATCATTATCCTGGTGATTATTTCGCAGATAAACCTAGTAACCCCGCCCCCTTTAAAAGAACGGCTCTTTTGAACGGCTCTTTGAAAGGAACGGAGCCATAAGATCCGGCTCCCTTCAAAGAGCCAAAAATCCCATCACTAACAGGAAGTCACTCAAGTGTCACAAAGTAATTTAGCCTATGGGTAGGTCAAAAATCGAATAGGTGCTGGCCATTGGCCTAATCATATCACCTGTGTTGGCTTTATGTTTTTGGGAAAAAATGTGTTTGTTTCACATTTGCATTGATGTAATCAATAATTGTTCTAATTTAATTTAATAAAAATAATCATAATAATAAAAAATAAAAAACATATTTCTTGGAGGTGCTTAGAGGGTGCTTTGGCAATCCTGGGGGGTGCTCCCCCCTGGCGGCGCCCCTGGTTGTGTCACCTTGAAGATGACGTCACAGCAGTTTTACGCAGCGTCGTTCCGCCCTCCGAACAGCCGATCGCCCCGCCTATACTGCGTCGTTACTATAGTTAATACCCCAGTTACTAACTGTAATGGAAACGCAGCTTAAAGTGAGCCGAGCCCAACCGAGTCGAGCCGCACCAAAACCTGCAGTGGAAAAGCGCCATTACTTTGTGACAGTCTCAATGATGCCCACCCCCCACCTAAACCCACTGTCTCCCTGACCAAATAACACCGCAGCCGCCAAAAACATGTCACGAGCCACACCGCCTGTCTGTTCATGACCTGTTAACACTGGGGGGCAGAGGCAGATAGGCCAGTGCATCCCATTAAAGGCCAGGACAGTGTGCATTAAGGAGCTGGCTCTATTAAACATACTGATCCAAATGTTAATGGTACGTTATAAACACTGTGCCTCTATCTGACAGGGATGTACTTTAGCCAGACCTTGATCCAGCAGCTCCAGGATCCAGAGCAGTAGTGGCCTTCAGCTCACACTGCGCGCGCGGGGACACAGCTCAGTCCCGACTCACTCTTTGCTTTGTGTTATCTTTTCATAAGCTGTGTTTAACATTTCTCAAACTGCATCACTGTTGAACTATGTGCCAGTTGATATGCACACTGCCAGATGGGTGCTGGGCTAACTTTGCCAAAGTCTGCTCAGTCACACAGCGTTACTCTGTCTTTCTCTTTGTTTTCACATGTTATGATATTGATATTTGGGTGCATTTCTACATACTTTACTTCATAAAAAGAATGTATCATTCACACAAAGGAATGCTGACTTTAGGTTCACCATATTGGATTTTACAGCAACATTTCATATTTGATTTAATGTCTTAAAGTTTTTTTCTATACAGCCAAATATATGGTATAACATTTAAAGATCCAACTCCATTACACATAAATAAGCACAACATGTTTGTTCATTCCCTCCTGTTTGACTGATGCTTTCTAAAAACTTAAGCCAGTATAAATAACTTTTTATAGGATATCTTCAGTAAATTAGAAGAAATTTAAACATAATGGCCTACAAATTCCCTGTTCCAAGATGTATTAATAATCTGAAACATGAATATATCACTCTTAAGCTTTTTATTAACTTAAGTATAAGTTTCACAAATTAATATGATTAGGTCAACTTTTTGAGGAAATAACAGGAGCTGGATTTTTTACTTTCATACGTCTAGAAATGTTTATAATTTCCATTGTGTTGACTTTTTAAAATTATAAAAAGAGCATAACCTGAAATCCTGGTAGGTTGTCCTGTTCAGCCCCGCACTTTGAGAACACTGTGAAGGGAGCTGTTTGAACAGATGTTAGGCGGAGTGAGTCAACAATCTGTTTTGAAAAATCCTCCAACAATTGAGGATGTTAAAAGCCATTGCAAGGCTTTGTTTTGACAGGTTAAAAATGTTCCTCTAACCTAATATTTACAGCAGACAAGCATCTTCGCACTCCACACTAGACGGGTGGATGAGCTCCGTAAGTGCTTTGCATCAATTTAGCCAGCTAATGTCCATGTGGATTGTGAGCTGTACTCTTGTCATCAAATGCATAAATAAGGTGACATGTAATGTGTTTCTGTGTTGCCTTCTCCTCTGTTATTGTAAGCGTAGTTGGATGTAATGAAAGCGAGGCCCAGCTGGCCTATTAGCTGCAGCTCACAATCTAAACACACTGACAGAGTGCAGGTGTCCCGCACCTCGTGGAAAACATTAGATTGGAGCAGAGCTTCCTTTACAGCTTTTAAATGGAGGCGCAGGTCAAGGGCTACCATCCAAGGCCCCGATCAATACCATGACCCCCCGTCAGTCTGGAGCAAAGTGAGGGAGGTGTACACCAGACGCTGACCGCTGACCTCCTGACAAACTACCTGCACCTACAAAGGAAGCCTCTGATGGATGAGGCCCGGCATTGTATAAGAATTTACCAGCTGCCTCTTGTCTTCTAGTACACAGAGAGTCACATGCTCATGTATGGGTAATTAGCATTTTACATTTTTCCATGATTTTCCTATGTGCTGATCTAAATGCTCCACACATTTCTTCACAGATGGTATGATGATGATGATGATGATGATGATGATGATGTGTCAGCATCAGGGTAGGATTTTCACGGATTTTTGCCGTCGTTGCCCCTCGGTCTGGCCGTGAGGCCCCACAAATAATTGTACGTCCTACGGCCACCATGGCTTTTGTGCCCTTCACACTGTTAAAGGTCCCATGACATGGCCATTTCTACTGATCATAATTCCATTGTTGAGGTATACTAGAATAGATTTACATTGTGCAATTTTCCAAACTCACATCTCTGTATAGTATGTGTATTCATTCACAGCTTGTTGGAGCTCCTGCCCGTCCCCTCCCTGTGAGCCCTCTGTGCTCTGATTGGTCAGTTCGCCCATTCTGTTCTGATGAGTCCACCACCGTTACAGCGGAACATCAGTGTTTCAATGGTGTTAGCAACCAGAAAATGACACCAGTAATGACAAACAGATGAGAATGCTGCGTGGGGTCTGGGTGGCGTGTTGGCGGGACGTTGCGAGGCTCGCTGCTGCGAGGAGCGGACAGTGTGAACTGGCTTACTGGTGTGGTTTCCTGGTTGCTGCCTGGAGTCGGCGAGACATCGCGAATGGACGCGGGAAGGCTGCGAGGCTCCACTAGCACCGGCACCACCCCCGCACCCCCAAACGCGACGCACCTACAGTGTAACCCCGGGATTCCACCGGGTCCGTCTGCGCCGCGTCACGGCTGCGCCGCGGTTTTGTCTGACCTCCTCCAGCGTCATAACCCACCGGCGCGTTTCAGAATCGGAGCGTCTTGCCTGCCGGTGTAGGTACCATATGTGCACGGCCTACCAGATCAGCACGGGGTCCGTTACGCTTACTAATGACGTCACACATTGGCTGTACAGCAACCCAAGAGGACATTTTACACGGCCAAATTCCGCAAAGAATATTAAAAAATAACAATCGACAGTGAATGTATGTTAGTGGAACTGTGTCAGGACAGTGAAGTGTTAATTAAGGAATGTTAATGAAGAACTGAAATGCATAAAATAGAAAGTTAATATGTAGCATATCCCTCCGAAATATTCTCTGTTTTATTTAGATGCTGTGGTGACAGTTACGGCTGGAAGTCCATTCTGAATACACCTCCTCTGATACCTCATTCACACCAACGCAACTCTGGTTCATGCTCCATGCTAGAGCCTTTCAGGTTCAGAACCGGTTCTTCGGTTTAGCTCTGGCTCTTTTCACACTGCCCAGAGTCCGAATGGTGCTGCGTCATTGCGTCATCGTTTGCGTCATGACGTAACCGTTTGCGTGCCTGCTTCATAGCTCCTAGTTTGAATAGGTCTGCGAGTTTTATCGTATCTACTGACACTGTTCTCATTGTCGTGACTGGTACCGTAATTGTTTTGCTTGAGCTGCTCTGTGTCCCTCTGTCCCTTAAATTTGTGTACTATTACTCTTTGGTCCACCCTGGTTAGCCCGCCCTGACTGCGACTACTCGCTGTCCCACTTGTAGGTGGCGACACATATACATATCATATATATTCCACTCACTACTATATAATATGATATAGATATATATAAGATTAGATACATAAGCTATAGAAAGATACGATAAGCCGTAGGGACAGATGTTGGTCTCGCTCAAGGATTGAATAAATGGTCCGGTGTACTTGCGGTTGCGGATACGAGAAGCAATGACGTGTATTACGTGTTTATTGACACGTTCGTCTACTACTGTACGAGCGAACCTTAAAGGAGTATAAACCCCGTTGCGGTAAACCGGAAACACCACAGTGGTAAGAAAAATCCCGTGTTTTCGTGTACGGTCCCGTTTTCCGGTCATTCCCCATTTGTAAACCTAAACCTCGAATGTTTATTTATTGAAGTGAAAGACTAGTTCCACACCGGCGCTAAAGCCAGGCTGGAGGAGAGTCGCAGTATTGGGTGGCCCGCGCCAAAGGCTTCGCACAAGGCTTCGCCTCGCCACAGAACGCACGCGCGAGCGCGTCAAAACCAACTAAACCCGTATATGTCTGTTTCAATTATTATTAAACATTATAAGGTCAACTATTTGCTGTACTAGTTTCTCACACAACGCACATAAATATCGTGGTCTGCGAGACCCTGTGGAAGATCGGCATTGCACCGCCGCAGACCACCTTATCGTGGGTAACTGATGTCACCGGGCTAGCTGACACTTGCGCGCGACACTTGCGCGGGCGCCACGTCGGCATTGCGGCGGCGTCTGGCCTGGGCCACCTTAGATCCCCCATTCCCGCGTTTGTCAGAGCGGTGACTCTCTCACCACACCACACAAAGAGTTACAGCTTCATGCGAACGAACCATGTACAGAGGCTCGCAGTGAACGAAGTCTTCTCTCCGTTCTGTGAAAGGACGGCCTAGTAAAGGACTTGTTTCTTGTTTTCGGGGCAAATAGGTCAAACAATGTGTTGTTACCTCTTTGAAATGTTCGTTTGTCACAGGTGACTTCTCTGGTCGATGGGATGACCGCCATTAGACCAGAGGCTTCTCCATGTCTCCTTCGACCTCGGTGTAGCTGGTAACAACACAACAACAGCCACAGTGAATACACCTACCCTACACGCGCNGTGTGTGTGTGTGTGTGTGTGTGTGTGTGTGTGTGTGTGTGTGTGTGTGTGTGTGTGTGTGTGTGGAAATAACTAACACACACACACACACACACACACACACACACACACACACACACACACACACACACACACACACACACACACACACACACACACACACACACACACACTGTTCCATACATACAGGCATATGCAAATGTCTAAATACATTCATGCATACAGATTCATATTTGCTGCCCATAATGTATGAGCACAGGAATGTACATGAGAGAAGCAATAGGTGGGTTTGGAAGTCCATCTGGCCTATAGTGTATCTCCACTTCATTCCATTTCACAGAAGCATTTCAGCACCCCCGAGGCACACCACAAATTCAATATGTAGCATTGAACGTAACGCAGTGAATGCATCAAACCAGAGGGCAAAGTAACAAATAAAGTTTTGAAATAATTTGAACAATTATTTTTAAGAGAGCGGCCTGCTTAGAGACAGTTTAAAGCAAAAATGTTCACAATCCTGCTCTGTTCCTCCTCATTAACCTCCACTGAGACGTTCATGCAGCTGCAGAGAACAAGAACAATCTGGAAGGCATTTTGACAATCTCCTATCCTCTTCATCCTCTTACTTTGTTCCTGTCTTGTTTTGATTTCTCCTTTCTTCTGTTTCACAGGAGATCCCATCGACACACTTGTGAGCTGTGAGAGGAACGATGGAGGTTAATTTGACAGAAACAGTATGAGCATTTTATCCAGTGAGCTCCACAATTCTGGGAGTCACTTACACTCCAACTTGCAGTCGCACACACATTGTTGCAAAGAAAATTACAACTTAGTACAAACATGCAGTCAAAATCGAATAATAGCTTAAGCACACACAAACATTAAGAAACATTCAATTAGTTTGACTTTATTCAGTAACAAAGCATACTTGCTTGGAGGGTTTATGTATGATAAAATCTGCCAATGTCCATGTACTAAGTCACAAGCCTTTCATTGAAAAGGATTGTTATGATCCTCTCCAAAAAACAGTTTTGTTTTTAATTTCCTGTGCAGACACGTCAACTTGGTGACGCAACAACAGGAAATATCCAAATACCTCCGGACTGATGAAACTGATGCCTCCCATATGGAAGCAGGGTGTTCTCCCTTCCTGTCTCACTGCGGCCAGCAGCTTCAATCATAACCAGTCTCCCGTCCGCACGTTGTTTATTTCCAAATGTGTTCAGGGAACTTGTTTATGCTGTATAAGGAGTTGTTGATGACGCTCATTATAGTAACTCAAGCAGGGAGAATGTAGCAGTAGGAACGATCACAGAGGAAATCAAACCCAACCACCCCAGATGTTCCCATAGTGTACCAAACAATAGATAATATTGTTAACCTGTTGTGACCGTGAGTCTCTTAAGAACATTATTTTTTACAGATACAATCCATTGTGTGTTGATTAGAAAATGTAAAGCCACACATGGCTATGGAAACGCAAATATGATTCAGAAATTGATCACTTTCATCTTCGCTGTTTTATTTTTGGAAGAATAAGAAATGTCTGTAAACAGTTAGAGAGGTGTCCACCAACAGCAACAACAGCAGTCCCCTGGTAACTGAAACCAGTAACAATGAGTCATTGTTTATTGGAATTGTAACACTGAATCATACTTAGTTGTAATAAAAAAACACTATTTTACAGTATTGGCTTTCATTTAACATGCATTTTATTGTCTTGGGCGCAAGGAATAACATGTTTTTCTCCATGGAGTCAAACAAATAATTAATGTCTAAAAGAGACTTGAGTTGCTTTCCCCCATTACCATTTTTCTGTCCCGTTATATGTGAACTTCCTTTTCCTTTCACTTCATTGTTCAATCTGACATCTAAATCACTTTTCAGTTTGAAGCGTTGTTGTCCTTCTGCCCTTAACAATCAATAGAAAGAAAGGCAGTTATCTAGAGGTCTGGAACCAGGATAGATCTTTCCAAACCTTGAAACGTCACTAATCGATACGTTTATAATCATAATGGATCAAATAAGGATATGTTACATGAAAGGGGTTCTTAGTAAGATTTATCACCAACCCTGCAGTTCTTCTCACCTCTAAGGAGCACAGAAGATCAGATAAACCCGAGCTGAAAGAGTGAATATTGGACCGACACTTGTCAGGTGGCCAGAAACAGGATTTCAAATGAAAGCTTATATTGCTCTGTTGGCTAACAAGTTTGTCTGAACATAAAAGGCGCCACAGTGGTGTTAGCTTGAGAACAAACAATAACACATTGTGACACCTGTGTGTAAGAAATTACATTCTAATAACATCTAACATCTCCACTATAAATCAATAGTTAGATAATGTAATATCATGTTAACAGCTTGTTCTGCTGCCCCCTAGTGACCAAAAACAAACTATGAATGCTGCTTTGACCTAGTATTTTGCTCACCTTATTCTAACCAAAAATGAATAGAGGTGTTAGATCCCAACAGTGTTTATGAATAATTGTTAATGTTTTCTTTGTCGTGCCAAACAATGTTCTTATGACCTACCAATAGGATTTTACAAACAAAATGTCTTGTAATTTTAGTGAAGAGAAATATGTTCTGTTATCAGGTGGAGCAGTGCAAATATTAAAAACATAGGGGCCCATCCTCATATGACGCTATTTACTCAGGAACATCAGAGGGTCTGGTATTTACAAAATGTGGACCATGTGGAGGGGGTGAGAGGAGAGCTGTACCTCCGCCTCTGGGGGAACATTTTTAATGTGAGTGTGTGTGTGCGACGGAGAGAGAGAGAGAGAGGGTGTGTGTATGAATACTTATTTAGTTACAACCCAAACGGCGCTGACTGCATTCTTCCCTTAGCGGGTGGCAAAAGAGGAGTGTCGGAGAGAGGGACATACACAGAGGGAGAGAAAGAGTCCGAGAAGAAGTCGAAACTTCACTGCAGACGCTCCAGCACAGGTTGGTCCTATTTCTATAATATATTTTTTATTATACCTGATTATGGACTTACAATAAAAAAAGACTCCAGTGTATTTTATCTTAAACATCAGCATATTTTCCATTTACTCTTTGGTAACTTGTAATTTGCTGATATATTTTCACATGTCTCAGCTTCTCTGGCTTCAACATTGGGCTTTTCGCATTAAACCCGCAGACAATAACATTGATGGCCAAGCGCGTGTTTACTACAGGTGCAGTGACATCGATATCAGCACAGTCCAGTTGAATCGATTATTTTAAAAGGCTGTAATATGAGCTTTACTTAAAACACTCTTATTGCAAACGTTTGCCTTCTTCCAGGATGCATGCAGGCACTAATCGCACTGCTGACCCATTATTTAGATTATGACCATGTGCATGAATGTGTCACTGATGGTTTCAACAGAGATGAAAACAAATGGCAGTTCCCAGCAATAATACTCACATCCTACAATGGGATTATTTCTACACATGTGGACTGCACACTTCTCACTGTTATTCGTGTGTTCTGTTATGATCCTGCCATATGCAGCTTAAATTATTGAGCCATATATCCCCGCACAGGATTGGCTGCAAAGCAGAAATGTTGCCTGTTAGTGAGGATAACAACACTGACAGACGCGCGGATTGATCTGTTTTTCTACAAAGCTCACCAACAGTAAACCACATAGTTTACTTATGTTTTATATGTGTCACTTGCGACCACCTACTAAATACTGAAGTACAATTTAGGTTGTCGGTAAAAATGAATTTTGAAACCCGATCCCCTCAGGAAATAGCTCCACACCATGGCTATTTTTACCTCCAGGGTTTGCCCCGCGTGCACACGGTCCTGTTCATTGTAATGCTGCACATGCCTTTAACATGATGTAGATGTTCATTATATCCAGCTGCACCTGATGATGCTGTGGAAAGCCTCGCGTGTAATGCCATGCGATGGGGAGGGGAAGGGGGTGTGTGCTTCAGAGAAAAAGATATACTGAAAATGATTTGTGTGTGTGTGTGCGGTTCTGCAGAAGTATGCTGGAGAAATATTTTTGATATAACTGTTTTCTGTTTTGATGTTTTTAAGCCTTTATGCCGAGGAAGCACCATCACATATCCGCGTGTGTGAAATTGATTTTTCATTTTTTATACATAAAGATAGACAGAAAACACATTTTATTGTACCCATTTAACATCGATTCAGTTGTCATCTAATATCATACGCCACTCTTTGTGAATGTTTAATCATATTATTTTATTCTGTAGTAATGATTTGTTTTCTTCCCTTTACTGTATAGGGAGTTGTGCAACACTGCTTTTAATGTGTAGTTATTGCAATATAATAATATTGGTATGGATTCCGATAGACATAGGGAAGAAAATAAATAGAGAGAGAAAAAGAAGAAGAAGAAGAGAGAGGGGGAGCTTTTGTAAAACAGAGCATATTGTCTCGTGACGTAACGGCGGTTGTTGCGGAAGGTCTGATAACATTGCCTATAGTGCGCGTGTCCGTATGTGTGTGCATGCTGCTCAGGATTCCATCCATCATATCCTAACGGACATACCGTGTCTTTAGCGATGCATGCCTAACACGCGCACCAAAATCAGCTAATAAATAAACAATGAACGCCGCGACCACCGCCAGCTGCCTGCTCGTCGCCGGTGTCAGCTACTACCTCTACGGCAGCGATGTGTTGATGTCGCTGCTCCGTGTTTTCTCCGCAGACTCCTCCATGCCCGAGCCGGGAGCTGCTCCGCGGCGGAGCCCGCAGGGAGTCCCCTACAGCGACCTGCAGCACCTCGTCAACGCCGACGGACTGCACCTGTTCTGCCGCTACTGGGAGCCCGCCGGCCCGCCAAGGTCAGTGGAGAAGCTGTTTGACTGTATGGTGTACGGGCTATGTGTGTGAATTAGGCTACTGGGGTCATTTTAAGTGTCGGTTAAACTGTAATGACCCCATTATCATGTGTTGGTGAGGGATATGTGACACTGTTCACGTGGTTGCTTTCAGTCCTGGAGTAAGTCACATGGAGTTAAACTTTTTTTCCCGAAGTGTGTGTGTGTGTGTGTCCAGTTTACAAAGGGCACAGTTTGGTATGTTGTCCCTCACACATCAAAATTAATTAACTTATGAATAATTAGTTTGTTAAATGTACGCCCAGGAGTCATACCTGACTGGTCCAACAACTTATCCGTCAACTCTCCTCATCTTCCATAGGCACACCACCAAATGTGCTTATTGTAATCTTCATGGTTTCATCACGAGAAGTAACACTGGCTGAAAAACTGCCTACTTTGTTGGGCTGTCACCCAGTAACTCTGTAATAAATACCCATGCAGACATTTGGCCCAGCTCAATGCTTATAACAATACATCATCCATCTTCTTTATTTTAAGTCATATGACCCTTTTTATATAAACTTCTTAACTTGATGCAACTCAAACTCAACGCTATGTCAAATTAGACAACAAAAGGACATTAAAAGCATACAATTACCTATTGTAAAATGGATATGTAATAAATCTGCATGGTCTTATCCTGAGACCCAAGCTTGGTAGAAACATTTTAATTATGTAAATCTCCGTGACCACCATATGCACCAGGGACTCATACTGGGTCATGACCCCGTTTTAAGAAAAAGATTGAAAACTGTTTCTAGTTCAACCCACTAAACAAGCTTAAACATTTTGTCAACACATCAAACAGTACACCTACTTTACTGTGGTTGGATATTCTCTTGAGCTTAGAGCACAACAACATGCAGGAAGTTACAGGTAACGGCTGAAAAAACGGATTTATTACATAACTCACTTGTCAATATTGCGTGTAATAAAGTGATTGTTGCTTATCCCAAATTACATCAAACAATACATCCAGATGAATAATGGGTTCAGTTTCAAAAACCAACATGCTTTTGCTCGTGGATCATTCTCTGTTTTTGAGGCCCCTTTCCTATGCACTCCGCTGTGGAAGTGCATGAAACCGAAGACAGGTGTCACGCTTAACCTCGCTTACAGACCACATAGTTGCATGAGGTGTGAAGCAAAGACGTGAAGGGATGTGTCAGAATGGCCCACAAAACATTTTTCAGTGCTTCTGCTGCATTTTTGCTCAACAACTGCTGCTCATTATTCATCAGGGAATAATTTGCCCTGCATTTCCTCTTTCGCCCTCTGACGAAGATGCCCAGCCTTGGGCAGCACGCTATCTCCCTTAAGGAGGGGCTGCCCTAGCATTTTGTTGTTGTTACCAGTTTATGACCGGGCAACTCTCGGTCAGAGATAGTTATTGTTGTGGGACACCTGGAACACATCCTTCTCGGGGTGTAGATGACCCCAAGCCATAAGTGACAACAAATGTGATTCAGTGTCCTCAGCTGTTTAGTCTATCTATTGAAGAATGTAGATTATTACACTCTGAACTAGTTAAAACGTTGAACTACAGAAGGGTTCTTCAGAATTGATTTGGCATCTCTACCGTGTGGTCAGATCGTGGCCTGTGATATGTCTTGTGAATTCTCCGGCCGAAGCTCCAAATAAACCGTCAGTGTTTGCCATCAAAGCTCCAGCTCTCCTTCGTGTCTCTCTTTGAGTCCTGACTCCAATTGCTTCAGAAGTTTCCCCCACAGTGATGAGTAATTTATTCTTTATTTGCATGCTTGTATACCTGCAGATATGTGTATGTGGGTAGCAAACCATGAGAGTTTGTTTTTGTGGTTGGATTGGGTTTCTCTGTCTGATGCACTCTGCCAGCTCTTGAGAACATGATGTATACATGATTCTGCATGGGCAGTGTGACAAACATTTGACCACATAATTGCCCATAATAGCTCTGATGAGTGAGGCTTAGCTGTGGTCACACAGAAGCCCTTTTTCCAGACCCAAGCCCTCATTCTCCCATGAACATAAATCTAATATCTGCTCATATATTTCAAGCATACTTGGAAATGTATAACTGATTCTAAAGAAGTTTCCTACTCCTCCTGCCAAGACATCCATAGCCCAAATAACACATTTGATTGGCACACCATGGCAGGTTTATTTTACTTCTTCTTTTTTGGAAGTTAAAAGCTGAATCACTGCAGGCTTAAAATAGCTGCAGATCCTTCTGTGTTGTAACTGTTTCAGAGCCAAGGCTTTGGTCAGCTTATATAAGAGCGATATTACTGGAAGCCAGCTGTTCTGAAAATGCATGAAGTCATGGTACTGAGAGGCATGCAAAACTCCACAAATTGTTTTGTACTGTTATGTATGATTAGAAGCTCATTATGAAATACGCTTTCTAGCCGTTCTGTACATTGTGCTTAAATTCAACCTCTCTGTTGCCACAGAATGTGAGCATTCTGCAAAGATTGGTTTGGATACTGCAACAGAAAGCACTCCAAGCTCCAGTTACACTTTAACAGTTAAATTCTTCACTGAAGCCCAGACTAATTAAAAATATTTAAGCTGAGCTAGCAGCTCCTAAAAGCTGTGTGTGGTAGGTTTACTAGCTGACAAAACAGAAGCTATTCAGTAAAAGTACGCCCTCATTATTACCCCAAACTGATGTGTTGGTCTCAATATGCTGTTGAATGCAATGAGTGTTAATCAGAATATAATTGTTAGTAGTTCTCATGGGAACATATTTACCTCGAAACCTCTTAATGCTAAGTCCCAGCTATATTTACCTCGAAACCTCTTAATGCTAAGTCCCAGCTATACACACAATATTATGTAAGAGTAAAAACTGCTGAGCAAGTGCCACAAAATGAGACACTCCAGCTTGTTGTCTATCGTACAGCCTACACTTGACCATGAAATAAATACTCTGATACACTATACTGTTGTAACACAAACTGCCCCTGCACTGGTGTGTCACACTAAGTTCCATTTGGTCTCAGTAGATGCAGACTCACAGCAACCCACTCACTGCAGCAGTCAGATCAGTAATTTAACACAACATGACTAAGCGTATCAGAAGCCAATTCATGAACTCTTCTAGATGTAGCTTATCCAGAAGCTTATTGCATTATAGGTATAAGACTTGGTTGTAGCCGTTGGCATGAATGGTAATTATACATTCTTAGTATACACTGTGGTGTGGATGCTTTTAAAATACAAGTTTCACCATTGTTGAAAATGCTATACATTATGGAAGGATGGAAACATTTCTGAAAACGTCAAAACATTTTTTCTTCTCACTTTTATGATAAGAGTGGTATCATATCAGTAACAGGAGCAGCTGGTGCAGTGATACGCTTTGATGATCAAAAGTTAGAGATTTAGAGATTTCCATTTGAAATTTAAACTGCAGCCAAATGACCAAATATTGTCAGTACATCATTTGGTAAAAGAGTTAAAAACCATACTACAGGACAGCAACTTGTATCTTGCGATTATGATAACCTGATGATTTTATCAGTCAACCAGTTCATCCATTAAATACCAGAAATAGTGGAAAAACAATTCCTAAAATAAAACATGATGTCATGACATTGCATGCAAAAACAAAATGTATGTTATAAAGTTAACTATTACATAAGATAAAAAAAGCTCCCTATCCTTACAGTTGAGATTCTAGAACTTGTCAATTGGCTTTAACATTATTTCATTGATACCCTGTCATTGTCAACACTATTTATTTCATAATGGGATGTACTGCATCAATGTTGACAGGCATTTATTCATTGATTCACCAAACTGTCAGCTGACAGTTTATCACATTGGGAGTGTTGTTTGTCTAGAAGGTGAAAGCCAAGCTGTTTACTGTTTGATCCTTATTCTCAATCTAAACTAATGGGAAGGATCTATTCAATGTGTGTTCCTTTTGTTAAACAGCAGGGTGGTGAAGATGCCTTGAAGAGGTTTGATAACCTTAGTTGATTGTTACTTTACTCTTGGCGCAAAAAATGTTGAACGATAATGATATTGTTTCACTAATTTTACAGATCAGGTCTTCAATGTGTCTTCTTTCCAAAGTGGTTTTGGTTAGATCGCTGTTTAAACTGAGAATTGTTCCTAGTAATAATTTTTTGGTCGTAGCTGGATACACATTTACCAAACGTATTGTCTTACAAAATGAAGCCTTTAATGATTAGGTTGTCACTGAAGTAAACTATTTATAATTCCTTTTTCTATGACCATCATGACAAACAGACAAAATACAACTTAGAAAGTAATGCAGAAATGAATTTGAAATTAGTTTCTTGTTTGTATGAGAAACAGATGGTTCAAAGTTCATTAACTCCTGAAAAGTACTTTTACTTGAACCAGGAAATAGGTGAAAGGTGGAGGGGAGGGGAGGGCCACAGCAATGATTGATAGATGGCCCAACAAGGGCTTTAAACCCATGGAGATCAGCATACCAGCCATACCAGAGTCTGTATTAAAGTAGTATACTGTACATATAGTATAGTATATAGTTTATGCATTCTTTGTAATGGTCGGCAGGGCAAATACACTGGTGGCTTAAAAAGGACTGATTGTGTAGAACTCTATGAGAAAATTAGCTCTACTTTTCACTTGATATATCAGTAAACATGGTAAACATAAGTTATGTCCCAGTCAGAAGACTTCAGTCATGAAGTCTTCTTTATAATGCATGATTTCCATTTTGTAAATGATGGTCCCATTTAGAGTAAAGTAGACAATGAAGCTGGGTTTCAGGTTTTAGCAAACTGTTGATTGACAGCTCGCAACCACGCAACATTGCATATCCCTGCCTGGTTCCAGCCTCTCATCCAAATACCGTATGGTCACCTCTGGGTGGGAACGACCAAAGAGACAAACTTAAGGCTTTAAAACGGTGTTCCACAAACCAATGGGTGACGTTTCAGGTGTATGTCCACTTATTTTTATACATGAGCCATACATTCTTT